ATATATATATATATATATATGCGCCCGTGTATATGTGTTATATCTCAATATCTTACTTTTTAAATATTAATTATATTCTAATGATCATGTCTAGTTTTCGTGTTGGGGTCACACACTTCATAGGATCATAGCCATTAATCCATGGAACCTTGAGGCAGAAGTTAACAAACTACAAGGGTATATAGTTTTTTTTATTATATATATATATATATATTATTATTAGCAAAGAAGAATATTATTGAAAGAGAAAATAAAAGGTACAAAGAGTATCCAACCCTTACAATATATGAATGAAATATCATATTATTTTTGTTGTAAATTGTCTCCCCTATATAATCTTCCCTCTAAATATAAAAAAAAATTACAATGCATATAGAAAATACAAACGAAGAAGAATTTGGCCCAATTCCTGGACTCCATAACTAGCATTGTCCTGGACACTGGACTCCATAACAAGGGTATACAGTAATTCTTAAAATTAGCGTTGTCCTTAATGGCATCCCAACTATTTATAATATTTAATTCTTTAAATAAAAAGACATGGTTCTCATGAAACTCACATTCATGACCAATGGATTTTTCTTCTGGAGGAGGTGAAGAATCTGAAGATCAAAAGGGAAATTCCTTGGTCAGGAGAATCAAAGGGCCAATGGGGTCTAGCAGGTCAAAAATCTTGAATGATTTAACTTGGCCTTTAGCTAATTAACGGGTATTGAGACTATTGTATTAAGAAAAGAATAAGTGTAGATAGAGGGTCTAAAAGTCAAGTATGGAGAACCTGTTGAAAATTCAAGAAGGAAAACTTGTTTACTTTGAGGAAAGATATATTTGCATAAATAGGAAAACAAAACTAGAAAATGATTAGTTTTGTAGTAGCCTTAAACAAGAAAAGACGTGGCAACAATATCCTCTCTTTTGGGACGATATATCTGGTTCAAAAGCCCCCCCAATGAAAGATTCCTTTCCTAGGCTGTTCATAATTTCGGAGGACAAGAATAAGGTTTCAGAATTGGTATCTTGGGTGGATATGGTCATTAAAGTGGAGAGAAATTTGGTCAGCTGGAAGGACAAAACAGAACTCAATTGGTATTTGGTAAGTATGTTAAACTCGATTACCCTTCACGTTATGACTTGTTTTTACTAGTAATAATTACTTCATTTTATAAATTGACGGATAATTATAAAATCGTTTTATACATTAATTCGAATTAATGAAACGAAGTATTAAATAATTTTTAAATTTTTTAAAAATTTACAGATTTAATTTATGCATTAAGAACTTTAAATTAAACGGTTTGATCGTTAGAATTTGATGTAGAACATGAGTTATTGAACGGAGTGAGTCTAGATAGACTTACTCCTAGAGTAAAAGGGTCCCTCCTATATATATATATATATATAATTTTAACTAATTTTTATATAACATATATTAAAAAAAATTAATTTACAAAAAAAAAGAAATAACACTCAATTACATGTTGTATAAAGAATAATTATGAACCATATATATATATATTATGGATCACATAATAATTATTCCTTATCGACAACTTAAGAGTATATTCCTTCAATTAGGATATGCTTTTCTATAAAAATTCTCGCAAAGGAACTGTTGAAGCACATGTTAATTAGTACATAGAGGCATCAAATTCGATAATTTTAAAGCATCTTTGAAAGTCTTATGCCCCTCCAATGTTAATTAGTACATAGCGCATTTCCTTGACAATCTGGCTGGATGGAATTATGAGTATACAGAATTCATGTAAGAGAGAGGAAGATGCTTTACCCTGCAATGTTTATTTTATCTGCATGCATGCATGTAGAAAATTTTCCTGCATTTGCTAGTTGGCGTATAATATTTGGAATAGTCTATGCTTGGGTCTGGACTCTGGATGTTGTTATATAAAGAATAGTGTTTACTATCTTCAACGTTTTATGCGAGGTAAAGAGATAATTATGAGCTCTACAAATATGCTTTCGCATATGGTTATTTTGGTTCCCTTGACTTCTGCTGCATAATGATATTATATTTTTAGATTAGAAGGTTGATTTTCTATGGTCGTTCACATATTTAATTAGGGTCATTTTCTGCCAATTTTTGTGTAGTGTGTGTTCAAACTCTATTTGTTTTTTAATAGACTGTGATAATCTTTTAAAATTGTATACTTAGAACTTGAATTAAGATAAACTCGTTTAATTATTGACTCCAAAAATAATGATTTAAATCCTATTTCTAAATTAAAGAATGAAAATAGTTACTTTTAAATTTAGTAAAGTATTTTAGATCTTTAAAAAAATCTAAATTTAGTGAAGGAAAAAATATATAACAAAATATGATATACCAAAATCCTTAAAAAAAAAAAAAAAAAAAAAAAAAAAAAAAAAAAAGAAAAGAACAATGATACATTATCCTCCAAAGTTTTAACCGAAAACTCTTCTGAATTATTTGTGATTGGTGTTTATAAATTTTTAATTATAAAATATAAATTTTAATTAAAAGGAAAAAACTTTTTAATAATCGGAGGATCATTCGGAATATGTATTCGAAGGATTAGCATTTCTGTAGGAAAAAAATTAGTAAAGTAGCAACTCTCTTTTTCCAAATTGGTTGCCAGTTGTTTTGCTTTTGATGATTCTACAGTATTTTGAAGTACAAATTTATACGTATCTTAGTTAAAGTTTTGCTTTGTACTCCACATTCTTATATAAAAAAATATATCTTTTATATGCCCTAGACCAATTCAAGGCTCATTTTTTGTGATCGATCATATATAGCCTTAACTTTTATTATTATTATTATTATTATTATTATTATTAATTTTAAAGTTAAATTTTAGAATAAGAATTAAAAAAAAAATTTATAGCAAATTTTATTTCTTTTTAGCTAAAAGAAAATGACCAAAGAGAGAATAAGAAGAGATAGATAAAGGGGTAGAGAGAAGATGTTAGGATGCAAGTAAAGTCTAACATCATTCAAGCAAAAGGATGAACATGAGTTTATATACACACATTTATCTCTATTAGAAGAGAGGTCTTTTAGGTGATGTCTAAAATCAAAATCGTGAAGACTAGACTCAAAGCGGTCAATATGTGACAAATGTGAAAAATGACTTTTTTTTTCTTCTAAAAACTTAGTCTATGTTGGATTTGGTGGTAGCATCACTGAAATCAATTTTTCAACGTGAAAATCTTGAAACAATAAATAGTACGTGGTGCATTGGTGCCTTCATCGTGAAAATAGAAAAACAATTATTCTTTCATTGCATTGTAGAACCAAACACACAATTATTCATTTGGTTTAATTTTAATAACCACATTCTTTTTTATATATAAAAACCAAAATACTTAATTTTTTAAGAACATTTTAAAAAATGTGTTTGATCTTTTTCCCATTTTTAAATAGAAGAGAAACGTAAAAACAACTAGCTAAAACGCTTACTAAAACTTAAAGGGCATTTTTTTTGGGTGGAGTATGGTGAATGGTCAATCTTCAAGGCAAAAATAAATATAAGAGAGAGAAATAGTAAATATGTTGAATAGTTGAAGATAATTAAAAAGCAGCATTATAAACTATATATTTAAATAAAATAATACTATTCCAATAAAAGAATAATACTATAATTGAGTTTGAATGTAAAATTAAAATAAACACTTTTAAATAATTATAATACACTTTTTAAAAAAAGACATTCTTCTGTGTTCATATCCATGATCTTTTCTTTCTCTTTTTAAGCTATGTTCATAAACTAATTTATATTTTTGTAAAAATACAGAATTTTTTAATTTCTATAAAATTATTATTTTAATTTTTCACTCCTTCATCAAAGGAAAAAAAATCACAAATTTATAATTTTTAAATATTTAAAATTGATATTTCTTTTTACAAGAAATAAAGAAATTTTTTTATATTTTCAAGAAAAAAAATTAATTCTTTTTTATTTATCTATCCACCGTGTTCTATTGATAAAAGCTTTTATCTCAACTACTTATATATTATTATTTCTAGTTCTCTATGATTATAACGTCTTGAAACATTTGACATGTTCATCATCGATCAAATTGAACATTAGGTAAGCTTGGTGCAAGTGTGTGACAAGTAACACGCATCTTTTATAACAAGCTTCACGTAGCAAATAACTTGACCCAAAGCCAAAAAGTACTTCATGCATGCAGCAATAAATAAAATAAAATAAAAATGAGAGTGCATAGCAAAACAATACCCGATATTAACTTGGTGCCCTATGATTTTTTTTCCCCAACTAAGGACACCTATAATCTACTTCTAACTATAGAAAATTTATTAGGTAGTTTAAAAAGTATCCATAATTTCAAATAATCTCTATATAACATGTTTTCAAGTTTTTTAATTTATATAAAAAAAATTAATAATACTTAGTTATATAACATGTGATAAAAAGAATAGTTAAGAATCATGTACCATCAAATAATTTATTTGATTCATTGATGAATTGAACAAGAGTTATTTCTTAAGTCTTTTCCTTATTTTGTGTGACTATATATCAGTTATGTTTTTTAGAGTCTCTTTTCCATATTTTGTGTGACTATATAATTTTTTTTTTCAGTCTCTTTTCCATATTTTGTGTAACTATGAGTTATATATTTATAAAGTCTTTTCCCTATTTTGTGTAACTATCCAGATCTTTTCTTATTTTGTGTAACATTGATAGTCACGATCAATGTACAGACTACAGAATTGAACTAATATAGTAAAAGAAGAACTACAAAATTACTGAAAATAAAATTACAAACAAACATGAAATTTGGAAACTAAGAACAGGTAACTTGTGGAGGTAATTTATTTATTATTTTCCCCACACATGCTTAGATCTTACTAATAACTAGTAAAATTATTTGAGGTTGATCTTATCAAGAATTGAACTAAGCTTAGCAACGTTCAGGGGTTTCTCATGGTAATCATTCAGCCCCGCTTCCATAAATTTTCGTATTTCTGCTTCTGTACAGTGTGATGATACACCAACAATCATGCTATCAATACCATTGACCGAAGCTTCTTTGTTGCCTATAATAAAAATAAGAACAAGAAATTAATACAAGCATTTTTTTTTATAAAAAAAAATCACTCTTTCATCATTTCTTCCTCACAAAACAATATATAGTAAACCAAGTTTAGAAAAATGTGATCTGATTAAACTTTGGTCACAAATAATTAATGGTAAACTTGGATGTAATGTAATTAATTAATTAAGATCACCTCAATGCCATTCATGATAGGCATATCCAAGTCCATGAGAATGAGGTCAAATCTTTGTCCTTGGTGATGAATGTCCACTGCTTCTCGGCCATTTTTCACTCCTTGATTTTTCACTCCAACACTCTCCAATATCTTTTGATGAATCTTTAGGTTGAGTTTATTGTCATCCACGATAAGTGCAGTTAATTGGGTGACCAAGTTTGGAGTTGCCATTTGGTTTTTGTCTAACTTATTTTTTTTACGTCTTCTCACCACTTCTCGAAGAAAAAAAAAAAAAGAAAAGAAACACAATGAGTTTGTTTTGACAAGGATATGTTATATAGATATAAATATATACACTGCTAAATATTTATCTAGATTTCAGGATAATGTAGCCATAGCACTAACCTGAATGTGAGAACTCTTTCTCCAAATTCTGAGACTAAAGTCACTATTATTGGTAAGATGGGAAGAATGAAAATGGATGATGTATGGCTAGCTATTTGGGGTGTGATATATATATATATACACATAGAGAGATAAATAAATATAAAAAATAAAAAAACACGTATATATCCTTCTCATGTGGATAATTGAGTAGGCTATGATACAAGATTGAAAGTAAATGAAAAAGAATGATGTAAGTACTAAATTAGATGCGCGTCAGCATCAACATTGAATTTGTAGAAGAGTGTATGAATTTTGTTCAAAATCTTAAAAATCTGAGGGAGAGCGATATTTTTTCCAAAAATGGGGATGATTCCTATCTTGAATAAATTCGTAGGGCAGCTTTTTTCTATTTTGTACTAGACAAGGAGACAATCATATTTTGAAGTATATTTTTGTGGCCCTTTCGTTATCTTTGGCATGGAAAACGAGCAAGCATGCCAAACTTATAATTTATGACTTCATTCTTGTTGCAACATAGTACTGTATTTATGTATATATACCTTACAATGCAAGGAAGAGAATAAACACATGCACACATGACAACACAACTTTATTTACCAAAAGGACGAGAATAACACATTACGTGGTGTCTACAACTGCTATTAGAATCACACAATGCTACTTGCTATTTGCTACTAGCTACCTAGTTTGTCCTAGTTTTACATAGAATTAGATTCTTATTTCATCTTCTCTTTGTAGTATATATCTCTTCAAAATTAGTTGTTTCCATATTCTGTTTTTCCCCCTATGTTATGTTATTTTTACACCTGAAATGTTATACCTCCCACAAACTAGTTAAGGATGAGTCCAACATTATGTATATCACTTAATCAATATATATACGAACAGTTTTTTTTAGAAATATATATTGATGATGAGTTCGTTAATTAATTTAATTATACATGTTTGTTGCAATCGGGGTCATGACAAGGACAGTGCAAAAATAATTTTATGAAGCCAGTATTAATATTAATTTATTTTAAATAAAATTATTGAAAAACTTAAAAAAAATGAATTAGAGACAAATTCGAAAGTCAACTATATGCAGAAAATACTAACATTTAATTAAAGACTACTATATGTAGAAAAATACTAACATTTAATTAAAGACTATACATTTAATTGTGTAAAATTATATAACATTGTATATATTTTATTTTATTCCTTTAAAAATGAAATATTTTTTTGGTTTTTATTTTGTTTTATTTTTTAAAGGCATGATTTTTTTTAATTTTTATTTTAAAGAAAAGAGAATTTCAAACTGAATATTGAAAAAAAAAAAGAATTTTATATTTTTATCTTCATGGAAAAAGGAAAAACTTGAAAAGATATTTTTTATTTATAAAAAAAAATTCAAAATTCAAAAGGATTTTTTTTTTTGAACCATTATTGATTAAAAGAAATTTTCATTGCACACGTACAAGAGTTTAAGCTAGACTAATCATTAAAATCTTACAATTTGAATAAGATTAAAAATAATATTGTTATTAACATCATAGCTTATTGCATATTTGAATAATTTTTAATTTTTGTATTTCTAAACTTTCATTTTACCCGATTAACATAGTTTATGATAGAAAATACCTATTCGATAAAGTCTTATTATTTAGGTAACGTTATTGGTAAAATTTGCTAATTAATTTCACAAATGAATGCATGCATCAGTTAATATATACATTTTTTTTATCTAAACCCACAATACTAAATATTGTGAATAAATCCAAAAATTAAAAAGTAGAATCTCAATTTTTATATTTGTAATGATTATATTTATTTTCACAAAATGAGAGAAAAAAGATGGAATTCACTAATATAAGGGTTGCAACAAACAAAAATTATAAAAATATTTAAGTAATTTTTTTAAGTAAATATATATTCTACATTGATCCACAGAAAACCTATCTGTCTATTATGTGAATTGTATAACAATAAATTTTTAGATTTTACTTATAACAAACAACTAGAGGTACCTACACTAAATATTTATATTTATATTTATAGGTGGTAATTTTTAGTTTTATCCAAATTCATTATGTTTGTTACCCATAAGTATAAGTTATTTTCCTTATAGTGAAACATCTCTGAAATTAAATTGTGACCTTTTAAATTTATATTTTTATAAAAAGAAAGAGAAAAAAAACTTAAAATCAAAATTAACCTTTTGAATTTCGCTAATCTTATATAAGAAAGATATAGCAACACGGTACGCACAAAAGCACGAATTGAATGAAACAAACTCATTCTGATCTTTTTTTTTCCTTCTATATTTAAAAAATTAGTTAAAAGAAAAAATCAATCTGTTAAATATTATAATCCTACAATGAAGAATAAAATGCTGAAAAAAACACATAAGGCACGAATAAAATAGTATACATTCTAACCTTTTTTTATTAAATTGAGTTTTCAGAATCGAGCTAAAAGGCAAACTAATTTTCAAGTATTTTATTAAGGAAAGACTTAAAGGCCAAAGCCTCCTCTTTATATATATTCCAATTCGTCATATAATATGCATGAATAAAGCATGAGAGCCTCGGAGGGTTAGCAACACATAGAAAAAAAGCTTTTAAAATCGATTATTTTAGACTTTTAAAATCGATTATGAACCGATCTTAAAAGAGCCAATTTTAAAAAGGTACACTTTTAATATCGGTTATATGACAACCGATTTTACGCGGTACATCAACCCACGAATCAAAAGAATACAGGTATGGAAAAGTATAGGGTTAAAGGGCCATATAAATGTGTCTCTGGCAGCAACATGTCTTTACATTAATTGTGATATGACCAGGGACTTTTGCAACAATCTCTTCATTGGTTTTGGAGTTTTAGGTTTGCCCTGCCACTTTAGACAAATTTCTCACGACTCTTCATCAATGTTTAGGGAAGGGTTAGGTTACAAAAAATGTATGGAAAAGTACTCGTACCGGTTTTTTTTTCCTTGGCATTGTGTGTTTCCGCCAATGCTTTGATTGGTTTCTCTGTATGTGTTTTGTTAATGAACTTAACTGATATTTTCTCACTTCTATTTCTATTATTTTCTGCTGCAATTTAGTTCATAGAGAATGATTTATCACTCTCCTATTTTTCCTCATCTTATTTCTCTTAATACAATTACAAAACCAATTTAGCTTATATTATATACAATTAAAAATTTAAATATAATAGTTTGATAGTTAAATTTCGGCGTATAATATGAATTATTAAGAAGAGTAAGTCTTAATCAAGACTTATTCTTAGTATACTTTTAAAGTAGGTAATTTTTTTTTTCTCTTTCTCTATATATATTTAAATATAATATTTACTTGTGAATGTAATTTATTATAAATTTTATTTGTATATAATAAACATTTAAGCTGTGAAATGCATATATTAAAATTCTTTTTTTTACACATTAATTAAAGTACTAGTTAATCACTAAAAAGTCATTATTAATTAATTAATTAATTAAAAAGCACATATTAGTACAAATTTATTGATCTTTATCAGTTTTATTATTATTGTTATTCTGTGAATGAATGTGAATATTATAATTTTTATTATTTTTTTAAAAGTACTTTTATTTTTTATTATTATTTCTTATGAAATTTTTGCTTGATATAAACTTAAAAACTTATGACTTCTAAAATAAGTTCTGGTGTCATTAGCTTTGTAAAATAAATTATAAGATTGACACTAATTTTTTTAAAACTGAAAATTAGTTTTATTTTTTAAAAATTTTAAAACTAAGAAAACACCCAGAAACGGGCTACATTGCTCATTGTGTTTCTCCGATTTTGAACCCTATTTCCACTTTTAACAATCTCAAATATTTTGGTCCCAACCAACCATGGCATTCAAGGGCTTCTTAGCCACACACATTATCAGTAGATTCTCAAACCAAACTTCACTTAAGTTATACCTTTACCCTTGTAAGGAACACTGCTTGATTCATCCAAGTACTCAATTCAATCTATGCAAAAGGCTCGCTATATTATTATTAATATAAAATATTTATTAGCTTCGCGAAAAATTAATCAGTCAAAATATAAAATATTCATCGGCTGTGTAAAAAAATTAATCTCACCCAAAGAACTTAGTCGACTACTTCAAAGTTATGTAAGATTAACATTTCACATCAGGTTTCACTTCAAAGTTAACGATTAAATTACTAAACATATATCATTTTATTTCACAATAATTTTTTTTTAGTTTTCTTTTACAGATAAATCATTTTAATTAAAAATCACTTTTAGGTTAAATTAGTTTTATAAAATTAGCATCTTCCTAAATTAAAACTCAACATAATAACAATACTTCTATAACTTAATAATTTAAAAATTGATAATTGTTTTTCCTATAATTTATAAATACATGATTTATATGTTTTTAAATTTGCACCAAGAGCATGTTAAAAATAAGACTTTGCAAAACTAATCGGAGAGATTTTCTATAAAGTAGCTTATGAATAATGTAATTTTAACGGATGAAGATTTTTTTTTTTTTTTTCCTTCCTGTATTAGTCTCTTACAAGTGATTCTGGGAAAATTTATTTAAAGAGACCCTACACAAATAATAAGTTTCCACACATTATAAAGCAAACCTATTATTCATACTTCAACTTCAAAATCTCTAGCATGAAGAAACGTGCTAAGAGCAGTAGTGAAATCATTTATATGACTTCATGTAACACCGTTGTAAAAGGACAAAGAGAAGTCCATCAGAGCAAAGCTCCTCTCAATTTAAAAAAACCTATCGTACTCTCAAGTTCTTAATCTTTTTCCGGTTCAAAGACTTGGTTTATGTTTCCTGTACGCCCATGCAAACGTGTTTTGCCCGTTCACGTGTATTGTAGGAATAAGTGCAGCTTGAAAATAAGCTTTATAAAAATTAACCTAAATCCATGATATCAAGAACTAAATCAATGAGACTTTCTTGAAAATCATTCACTACAATCAATAATGTATACTCAATGTAGATTACAATTTGACCGTATTTCACCACCAACACTCCAAATTCCAACATTGGCAGGGAAAAAGGGAAGACCAAAAAAACTATATATTGAAAGAGAA